CCTTATCTTCTTGTATGTGTAGTTTCTTTGACAGCCTTATTCAAGCACATTGGGAGTGTTGATGAACCAAGCACAGATGAGTTTATTCGTGAGAAGGTTTTAACCTTTATTCGAGAGAAGGTAAAACCATTATGTGTAATGCCCAATGCGGTTATTATCATGACTCTCTTTATAATAACTGGAGTTTAAATGATTGCCGTTGTAGGTGTTTCCAATTAAATCCGAACTTTTGAAGCCTCAGGAGGAAATGGAAAGGCATATTACTGACTTGATAAAAAAGGTGTGGTTATAAATGATGTTTCAACTGTTTTCATGTGTATGTTTAGAGGCTTAAAACCGTCCTTAAAGTACATCTATAAGTATTCTTTTGGAGTGTGGCATGCTCTACTAGTCTTCTGCATTGCTTCGTTACCTCTATTGTTGATTGATATGCGGTCCTCTTCCCCTCATGCTACAGTTATTTTAAAAAAAACATTTGGAAGTTATGATCTCTTCAATTTTATTTTACTATTCTGTTGTAAGGTAGCAAGATGTATGACTAATATGATTGAGTCCAATTGCAGAGTTTAGAAGATGTAACTGGGGCAGAATTTAGAATGTTTATGGACTTCTTAAAAAGTTTGAGCATATTTGGGGAGAAAGCTCCTCCTGAACGCATGAAAGAACTAATTGGTATTATTGAAGGACAAGCTGATTTAGATGCCCAATTCAATGTAAGTGTTTGTTTTATTGTGTTGATTTTAAGGATAATGAAATAGCAGCTTTGAGCAAGAGTACTATGCAAAATATGCTGGAAATGAATATGGAATTATTCCTTTGTGATATTACTGCTTAAGAATGTAGGTGGCGCTTTTAATAACTTTTTGCGAAATGGTTGGAATGCAGGTTTCAGATGCAGATCATATTGACAGGTTGATATCTTGCTTGTTCATGGCTCTGCCATTTGTTGTGGTATGCCCTCTCATATTATAGCTTTTTTCCGTGCATTTTTGCTGTGTAAATTTTTTTTTTAGCAATTAAGTAGCAGCCCTGTTTATTCATATTTTTTATATACATAGAGGGGTGCGTCAAGCAGCAAATTCCTCAACTATTTGAACAAACACATCCTTCCTGTTTCAGATAAGGTAACATCTATACTTTTAATGTTCTGGTATACACTTCCAGTATGCGCCCCAAGTTTCTTGGTAATTTAGAGTGTTATTTCTGTATTCTTGTTTTCATAAATTGAGTCAGTATTGCCGCAAATAAAATTGAGTAAGGATAGCCTTAAAAAAAGTGGTATATATAAAATTGAATTTGGGATAGAATAATTATTTCTCTGACTTTATTGATTTATGTGTGAAATGTGTTATCTCTCACCCCCCAAAAAAAAAAAATTGTTATCAGGATTTGGGATGATATATCATATTTACTAGTGATTATGTTCTTCTATCAACTAGGTTTAAGAATGAGAGCTTGTATTACTCGCGTTAGAAAAACAAAAGAAGTGGGGAATAACTGGCATTGGTCTTCTAATCTTGTTTTGTCATCTTTTATTTTACTTTTTCTTGAATCAAATACTCAATAACTTAAGTCGCGTTTAGACCAAATAGTTGATTCCTTTATTGTCCATATTGTGCGAGGATTTTTAATAGGTCTATAAGTAATGCTGTCTACTTACTTGTCTATACTCTTAGTTACGAGGACCCTGAGAAATGATGACTAGATTCTGATATGAAAACAAGGGACAGTATGGAAAATAGCATTAGGAAAATTACATGGGAATACGGTACTTGCTAGCATTTTAGTGATATAAAAAAAAAGTGAAAATACATCTCAATGTTAGTAGTATCTTTACTAGAATATTTGACAATGTTTCTTTGATGATGATGATGCTGTCTTTATGGTGTTTTGTTCAAATGGGAAACCTTGTAAAATATATTTATTCAAACAATATTTTATCTGTCAGCTTCCTGACGAACGAAGGCTAGATTTGCTCAAAGCCCTTGCAGAAGTTTCACCTTACACAACTCCACAAGATTCACGTCAGATTCTTCCTTCTGTTGTTCAGCTGTTAAAGGTACCATTCCATATACTCAGAATTATTAGGAAATGGACTATGTAGTGTGAAGATCCAACCTTTAGACTACTCTCCACAATTGGAATCAATGTTTTCAAAGCCAATGCATACCACACGGCGTTTTATTACCCGAAAGACAAGGCACAAGCTTTTTGGGATTCAAATTATTACGATCAGAATAAATTTAAAACAGGTATTCTTGTATTAGTTATAGTTCAACCATAATAAACAATCTCAGAATGATATCCAATTATTAGCAGAGGGTGCCTCAAGGTGATTCATCAATATAATTTTTTAATTGGTTCCAGGGCTGGATAACAATACCATTTCCTGAGTCATTTTTTGTATATTGTCTTGTCGCAAAATAATTATCATCTATTCCTTTTTGTTTTTACAGAAAAACATGCCTCGGAGAAAGACTGGAGAGGAGTTTAACTTCACTTATGTAGAATGCTTGTTGTACACATTTCACCATCTTTCTCACAAGGTTTGTTTGGCTTCTAATCAACCTCTTGTTAATACTACTGTGAATCAACATTGTGTAGTGCTTACTTGACTGCTTTATGAAATAGGTTCCAAATGCTACTAACAGTCTATGCGGTTACAAGATAGTGACTGGACAACCATCTGATAGGCTTGGGGAGGACTTTTCGGAGCAGTATAAGGAATTTACTGAGAGGTGGTTTTTTTTCTTCTCCATCTATCTTTTATTGCTTATTAATAGTTTATATTATGTCTTTGTCATTTTGCATCCAATATAATTGGGCCCTAGCTCAGGTGGTGGTGAATTATGGCTTTTTTTCCCTGGTGGTGAAAAGGCCCAGCCTATCCACACAATATCAAGTTTTAGTCTTTTATCATTATTTATGATGAGGGTAGTGGGCCCCAATTGAGGAGAATCCCGTGGTTGAAAGTTTGGGGGCTATGCAAGTTACTGATATCTTACATGGAGGATTATCAAGTTGCTGCACCTTATAACTGAAAGTGTTTTGATTGATGCGCAGGTTGAGTTATGTTGAGGAGTTAACTAGGGCTACTATGAAGAAATTAACCCAGGGGATGGCTGAAAAGAACAAAGCTATGGCAGCTGCAAAATCTGACGAAGCGAAGGATAGCATTGTGAGTTGATTCTATGGAGATTTCACAGTATCTTGTGGACCTTTTCTGATCTTAAAAACAATATTTTTCTGATGTGCAGAAAACTGAAAAGCAGAATACTACAACTGGGTTGCGAACCTGCAATAACATATTGGCAATGACAAAGGTGAACCGAACTGTTTGAGAATTATGAACGCACGATAATTAATTCATGAGCTTTAACTAATCTTTAAATGTTTTTTAACAAATGTAGACTCTGCATTCAAAAACACCCTCATTTATTGGAGACAAGAGTATCAACCTATCTTGGAAAGAAGCGACAAAACCTGCTGTGCCCTCTAACACACCTGCTACAGGGTAATATAAATGTTCTTGCTCCTGTCTAATTAGCATGTGGAAACAAGATTTTTTATGCTAGTGAAATTGTGCTTACTTGAAAAGATCCAGTTTTATTTTGTTTAAACGTATTGGTGCAGAACAAAACGACCTGCTAATCCTGCCAATGGATCTGGGAATATGGCTTCAAAGAAAAGCCGTGGAGGTGGCGGTTTACAAAATCAGCTTGGCAATAGAGCATTTGAAGGTTTATCTCATGGCGGAAGAAGCGGGGGTGGGGGAAGGAGCAGAGGCAGAGGGTGGGGTGGACGTGGAAGGGGAAGGGGTTACAGGTAGCTTCGCAGTGAGAAAATTCTTGGAAATCAGGATGGTGAGAGATGCGCCGCAGGAATACGTATATGAGTATGTGATGTATTGAATTCTTCTCTTAGGAACAAGTTTTGTTTCATTGAGGAAGCTGATTAGTTATAGATTCATTGTGGATTAACAGTACTTATTGTGTTCCTCTGGAACCCTGTCCAAGAAGAACGGCTACTGGATTAGTGCCTCTGAGTTGTCAATCCCCTAAGAAAAAATTATGCAGCAGCCCGGGACTATTCCAGGAATCTGTCCATACTTTTAAGTGCATCCATGTTGTGTTTATTACAGTGAAGATTGCTTTCAGGGGAATACTTATAATACTGATAATTAGTGTATCACTTTGTTATTATGGCTTTCAGATTATGACATTGACCTCAGACTGATAGATGTTGCTTTTATCTCATCTGTATTGTTTAATCAAAGACCCCTTACTGTTGCATAACCTCATACTGTTGCACATTATTTATCAACTGTCCTAAACCGATGGGAGACAGAAAGTGGTAAAGGCCAAATGGGCGGGCCTGGTTGGATCTTATCCTGGCACAGCTCGGGGTCTCATGTTAAGGAATTAAGGACACGGCATTTTTGAAGCTACTTGGCGGGAACTTTTTGGAAGCATTTGGCCATGGCCGTCCCTTTTGCTTTTGAATGTGTTTTTGGCAGTTGTGGTGTGGATGGGATGAAAATGTAGGAAACTTGGAATGAAAGAAATTTGAGGAGGACGTCATATGCCAAGCCGCTTAAAGTTTGTAAACTAAGAAAGGGGGTTCTTCTACCACAGCATTCGGTAAATTATGTTTACAATGCAACTTACATGTATAAAAAATGTGATGGATTCATAACACTCGAGCTCTTGTGCTCCAATATTGCTTGTGTCAAAAAATAAAGAAGTGATGGATTCATAACACGTTTTGGATGGTTTGTGGGTACGTTGTAGGAATTTCCGTATTAAAAA